TGATGAAAGTGTGAACTACAGATATGAATAATCAGTTAGTGAGGTGAGGTGAGGTGAAATTGGGTTTTAACGTCGTGCTTGAGAATATTTCGCTCATATGACGACGTGCATGCGTGTGTATGTGTATGTGCGGCTACTTGTACTAGCCCAGACTTAATCTGGTTTAATAGTGCTAGCCCACTGAGATACCATGCGGTAGTGAAGCATGAGTACCCCACTCAGACACATTATACTGACTCCGAGCCGACCAGTCCTTGGTGTACCCATTAATGCCGAGCGCAAGACAGGGACCAACAAGTACCATATTTTAACGTCTTTTTGGTATGACGCGGTCTGGGATCGAACCCGCGACCTTCCGCTCTCCGGGCGGACGCTCTAACCACTACACCACGGAGGCGGTTAATCAGTTAGTGTACGATAAAGATAAGTATATTATTTTGGTGACGTTTCTTTCGCCCGTGAGTACATATGCTCACTCCTCCCTTTGCGTTCGTGATAACCGCAATTCACATTAGTTCCCGTCAGGTTTTTTTCTTTGATAATAATTAAAGATTGTGAAGGCATTATTAATGACTCAAATATGTGCAAGAACTGACTTCGATACGCTCATGCTCTTAAAACTCACGTGAAAAAACGGTGTGCATATGCAAACCTCCGTAAACGAAAAACAAAAAATGTCATCAATTCTTAATGTGGACACATCGGTGTTGTGTTGGCAGTTGACTCTGGACATGGAGCTACTGGAGAACGCTCCCTACCTGGACCAGCTACTGGACTTTCTCAAGGGGGAGGGCGAATGGTTACCTAGGAGTCTCACCGGTCGGGCAGTTCTGGTGGGATCAATTGCCGGAGTAACCGTTCATCTGATCAGCAAGAAGAGGTACAATCAACCCCCCGGACCCAGATGATATATATGGTTTGTTAATCCTTGTTCAGCGTTGCCTTCAGCTATATAAACTATCCAAAAAAAGAAACGCATAGGCGTTTGGTATTTTTAATAATCTTTTAATTACCAATTGGGTTCAAACAATCGTCAAAATATATGTAACAAAAGTGTTGATTACATGATTTTACACTATTGCACAAGTGAAAAATCGACTTTACCTGAAAATGCTGATATTTATGAGGTTTCTTACAAGAATTAAAAAGGCATCGCCACAACGCAACAGACATCACCTTCTAGTTGAAACTGTGCAGCAAAGAGCATGCACTGTCTGGCTATAAAAATCCAGATTACTTTCGGAAATCGGCATTCGTTTTGAAGAAGTTTCAAGGTCAAATCACTACGCCACGTCTTGACGCTGCGACACGGAACATCGCCATTGAAAGAATGCAGGCTGGAGATTACCAATTTTCTGTTGCCAGGCGTCTGAATGTTAGTCTGAGCACGATATCACTGCTTGCAGCTCGTTACAACCAAACAGGCAGAACAAATGACTGCCCCCGTACAGGCAGACCTCGAGTCACTACTGCAGCCCAAGATCGGTACATCCGGGTACTACATTTGCGTGATCGTACTGCCACGGGTGAGAAAACAGCAGCCAGGGTGCCTGGACTTCGGAGGATATCCGGTCAAACTGTACGGAACAGGTTGAAAGAGATTTGACTGAGAGCCAGGAGATCCGACGTCGGGACCATGCTACGTGGTCACCATCGCGCTCAACGTCTCCGTAATGTAAAATTATCCACTTGGTTGTACATGTATAGACTATACCTTCTTCTAAACTGATGTAAAAATTCATGTACTAAAGTCTGTTTGTGGACGAGTTATACATGTTTGAAAATACAACATTATCGCAATGTTATGCGTTTCCTTTTTTTGGAATAGTATATATCCGGCTACATGACAGCGGCGTGTGAAGTAACTAGTCTCGGCTAGACAATACTGTGATGGAAACCGTGAGCATCAATCTACGCTTGATACGAAGCGAGGTGTTAGCCAAGTCAGCTAACCTCATCACCCTATTCCATTAGTCGCCTCGTACGACAAGCATGGGTTGCCAAAGGCTGATACATTCCTCCACAGATCTTCAAGACATGCTGTACAGTCCGTTTGAGTCAGAAACGGACCGATGAATTGCAAATTTTATCATTGTACAAAATTGCCACATAAATATAAATAGTACACATGTTTATCATTTACTAATACCCAACAGCTTTCTCATATTTGAAAATTTTCCGGACTCCACCAAAAAAAGGAGATATTTATCTCCTCCCACTCTAAGGATTAGGGGCGGTGGGTACCCTAGTGGTTAAGGCGTTCGCTCGTCACGCTGAAGACCCGAGTTCGATTCCCCAGATGGGCACAATGTGTGAAGCTCATTTCTAGTGTCCCCCGCCGTGATATTGCTGGAATATTGCTGAAAGCGGCGTAAAATTAAACTCACTCACTCTAAGGACTAACCGGCCAGTTTGGGAGTCTACAATACAATACAAGTAACTATAGGTTACCAAGAAAGGCATGTGTCAGTACCGTACACTTCACACCACAATACTCCGGTTTACATTTAAATAAGGCGGAGTTGAAGTTCATAACTTAAAAACTTTCAAAAAAGTTTCTTGTCCAGTATACTCAATCTTGTATGAAAGTTATAATAGTAAAAACTGTTTCCCAATGCCTGTTCATTCCTGACCCGGGTATTAAGAAGGAGATAATTCTGACTGACTGAACAAATTACTACCCTGTGCCACTATTTGAACTGACCTCCCGTACCAAAGTGTCCCCTTACCTCACTATTGTACATCAATCAACCCACCAGGTATCAGGCCAAACCTGGTCACGCTTCCCTGCGCCTAAAGTCCTATAGTATTACCGGATTATAGCTGATAACAACCCGTCAAAGTTCAAAAGCCAGGCGCGTAGAAAGCCATTTTTTTCCGGGCAAGGCGGTTAAAAAACTTTATGTTTAGATAATATTGAGGGCTTGGCCATCCTTATTAGCAACAATTATGTGTAAGCCCGGCCTTTTTTTTCTTAATGGCAGCTACGCCCCTGATAGCCTAAGGTTACATCTATCTAAAGTACCATTTAATTAATCTAAACAAATCATCTGAGATGTGGGCAGTCAGAATGACAGTTATTAACGAGGTCGGGTTTTGCATAGTCTGAATCTGTTAATTCTTGAAAATCTGGGTAAGCAATATTTCTTCATCAGAGTCGCTCGACAACCTCACTGAACGTGCCTTCTGAATGTCAGTTTGCAGCGCTCATAGATACGCCGCCGTGTAAGGTTATCCGATATTTGAAACGTGAAATGCACGTGCTTCCTCATTCCTTTCAAGACTGCATTACTTTCAAGACATCAATATCCAACAACCCAAATAATGAGGCCTTGAATATAATTGTAAGTAGAATCGACTCGCAAAACACACCAATAGTTGTGCAAAAGGTTGTGTGTATAGCAAGACTACATGTTTATGTAGTTGTCACTTACACACGAGAACGACCGTCTCATATGCCTAGAAGTAAAGCAAATAGTCTTAACCTTATAAGCACACCCTCATACATGCGTCATAGGTATTTTGCTCATAAGGCTATAGTCCGTTTGGCTCAAAAGCGGACTGATGAATTGCAATCTAACTCGAAAACTAATAAACAGAAAATACTCAATGAAACACTGATCATAATGAAAACGTCAGACCAACTCTGAGAGGTGTTTGCAGAATTAATGTCCTAAAAATAAAAAAGTTGTTTAACAAACTATCATTAAAATATTGACACAGTTCACTATTTGTTACGAGGGAGGAGTGCAGAGAAAGGGACAGCCAGGTGTGCGAGAAAGGATGGAGACCGCACAGCACAGGTTGATGAATCAATAACTTTGTCGGCACTTGTGCACGTGCTTCTCTAACACCGGGCTGTCCCTTTCTCTGCACTCCTCCCTCGTAAAAAATAGTGAACTGTGTCAATATTTAAATGATAGTTTGTTAAACAACTTTTTAATTGTAGGACATAAATTCACAGAGTTGGTCCGATGTTTTGATTATGATCCGATGTTTGATTATGTTATGTTTACTAGTTTTCGAGTTAGATTGCAATTCATCGGTCCTCTTTTGAGCCAAACGCACTATATGTGCTGGTGTATTGTGGTGAAATGAATGAGTGAGTATGGTTTTACGCCGCGTTTAACAATATTCCAGCAATATCACGGCGGGTGACACCAGAAAAGGGCTTCACGCATTGTACCCACATGGGGAATCGAACCCGGGTCTTCGGCGTGATTAGCGAACGCTTTAACCAATAGGCTACCTCACCACCCCGTGTTGAAATGAAATGCAAAGACGTTGAAATATCATACTTGTTGTCACCCTGCCTTGCGTTCGGCATATAGCATATAAAGCAAGGACTGTTCCACTAGGAGTCAGTAAAATGTGGGTGAGGTGAGGTGAGGTGAAATTGGGTTTAACGTCGTGCTTGAGAATATTTCGCTCATATGACGACGTGCATGCGTGTGTATGTGTATGTGCGGCTGCTTGTACTAGCCCAGACTGAAGCTGGTTTTTTATAGTGCTAGCCCACTGAGATACCATGCTGCAGTGAAGTATGAATACCCCACTCAGACACATTATACTGACTCCGAGCCGACCAGTCCTTGTACCCAGTAATGCTGAGCGCCAGGCAGGGACCAACAAGTACCATATTTTAACGTCTTTTTGGTATGACGCGGTCGGGGATCGAACCCGCGACCTTCCGCTCTCCGGGCGGACGCTCTAACCACTACACCACGGAGGCGGTCAGTAAAATGTGTTTCAGCGGGATATTCAAGATAAACCGAAGCATGGTATCTCAGCGGGCTCAGTACTATCATAAGACCGAATAAATACATTCAGCCACACAAACGCGTGCAATCAAGTAGCGATATAAGTGCAACAAACGTCAACACGATGTTAAACTCGTTTCACGACGAGTGTGCACACCCGTTGACACCCTCTTATATATTTACTTTACCGGTACAGACCCTCTGTGGCTAAGGGATCCTTAACAGAACCAGATAGGATAGCCCGCCTCCAATCGGCCGTTTCACAAACAGGTAAATTCAGCTTGTAAACAGGTAAAGTTAACAGCACTAGTGTTTGTTTTTGCTTGGCAATATGTTGTTATAAAGTGACCAAGCAGTTGAAGGCGTTTGAACGGTTCACATAGCTAGTTTTTCAGTGTAGGCCAACGCGATAGCCGTACGCTGGTCCACTTACGACTGTGAGACCCCAGTAGCAGGGTTGAAATGTCACCAACTAACAACCCTTCCCATGCTTGTATTCAAGCGTACAGCAAGCCAATTTTTTCGTGTAACCCCGATAGTTGCAAAGCTATATATTTAGATGTGTTTTGAGCTTGTATTGAGAGCTGGTCCAACTATTTTAGCAACAATCATGTGTATGCCCGGGCTTTTGTTAATGGTAGTTACACCCCTGGTATTTAACACAAAAGGTCCACATGCTACGATGCATCGATTTCCTTCCTAACCTTGAACATACATCCTGTGTAAATTTATGGAAAACCGCACATTTACCACACGTATACAGCTGACATTGCTATTTGTATTCACCAAATCCCTGCACCGCTTGCTCTCTCTTAACCGCGATTTCGTCATGTCAAGTCAATAAGCGTGACCTATATCCGCCGTTGTTCGTACAGAGATCTCATATGTTGGGCGAGCGTCTGGCATAGATGTTTCCACTTTGAAACAAGACCCAACCTCCTACAGTTATGGGACCGTCCATGATTTATGGGTCACCAGTATGCTGATCTACCCTTCAGTTGTTGGCGATCTATAGCCCAATTTATTTTGTATTGTCCTAATAATCATATATTTTTGAAGTTAAATGCTAGTTTTAATACCCAAATGGTGATATTCTAGATGTTGAACTGTCACTCACTCATGATTTATGGCGAGGTGAGTGTGTGTGCGTGTGTGTGAGTGTTGATTTTACGAGGAAGTATGTACAATGTGAATAACTGCCGCCCCCCAAGTTGTTTCTTGACAAAGCAAGCCCCCGACAAAGTTCCCCCCTACATGTGTACAAATTGATATAATAATGGTGAAGATTATGAAAGTATCTAATTTGCTTAAGTGAGCTTTAAACAGCTTTAGGTCAAGTATATGATAACATTCACAGGTCCTGATAATACTGATAATAGCACACATGCACGTACTTGATTGAGGATTGGGTTGGTTGGTTTGCCTTTTAACGCCGCACTCAGCAATGTTCCAGCTGTAAAACGGCGGTCTATAAGTAATCTAGTCTGGACCAGACAAACTAGTGGTCAACAGTATGAGCATCCATCTACGCAATCGGGATACAATGGCATGTGTTAGTCGCCTCTTAGGTTACTGAAGATCAATTCTAACCCGGATCTTCACAGGGGGGAGACAAGTATGGGTTAGGTTACGAAAGATCAGTTACAACCCGGATCTTCACGGGTATGGGTACTTTGGGATAGTGGTGGATGAGTGTGATTGTTAATTGAGTTGAGTCCTTCGTTGTTTCTCGGGTATCAGCTTTGGGGATAATAAGTAGTGACAATACACTAATTGGTGTAAGCGACCGTTCATCATTTATGGCTAGGGCGTGGTGATGAATATTTAGTGTGTGTGTGTGGGGGGACACCCATTTTGTTCTGGGGAGGTGGCGCGGTGTCAGCAGATTTGTACATACGTATATTAAAAAATATGCTTAGAAATTATGGGAAGGGAGGGGTTTGTCATTGAGTTTGTACATGTCACGCAGGGGGTTCACTCAACTACTTTGTTCATAAATTTTAGGGGTTGCCATTCACATTGTACATGCTGCTCCTTAAATACTATCATCACCACCACAACACCCACCCCGACCCACCACACGCACACCTCTCCCAAACACACCCCACCGGCCATAAATTATTAACCGTCCCTAACCAGAAACCTTCCAGAGGTATTTTATGCGTGCTTCGACAGATTGCATCGACAAGGGCCGCGGAAGCCTGTCGTCGTGTTGTTTGTGTTGCACGTTCGTGCGCATTGACCAGTGACGAATTTAACACTAATGATGTATTTCATTGCAAGAACAGACTTCAGTACGTTCATGCTTTTTGACTCGTGAAAAAACACACATAATTATGCCATACGTAAAGTCTAAATGTCGATGCGAGTCCTTGTTGTGTTGGCAGAAGACACTGGACATGGAGCTACTGGAGAGCGTCCCTTATCTGGACCAGCTACTGGACTTTCTCAAGGGGAAGGAGGAATGGTTACCTAGGAGTCTCACCGGTCGGGCTGTTCTAGTGGGAACAATTGCCGGAGTAACCATTTATCTGATCAGCAAGAAGAGGTACAATCTACCCCCTGGACCCCGAGGATGGCCATTACTTGGGAACCTCCTAGGTTGGTTGGTATATTTGATGTTTACCGTATTATTCTGGCTTAATGATGGCTTTGTGTAAATTATCTAGTCTGGACCAGGGAAACCAGTGATTGACAATCAAGGCACTTTGGAAAAGATGACAGGTGTCAATCAAGTCAGCCAGCCTCATAAGCATATCCCGTTAGTCGCGTCTTTCGACAAGCATCGGTTGCATATGGGGGCGTCATGCGAGTGTATATTTCATGTAACGTTTTGAGTGAGTGAGTGAGGTAAGATTTAGAATCACATCGGCAATATTGCAGCCATATCATGACTATAACAATAATTTCTTTAACAATAAAGAAAGGTTATTTTGTAAAATCTGTCAACAAAGGACAGTAAAACAACTAGACTGTCACAGATGTGTTTGTGTTTTATTTCGGTACTTAATAAGGCCACAGGCCTATAGTACATTACAATACAAAATATACAATCAGACATAGTATAAAAATATAAATAGAATTGTAAAAGCTCATCCAGCTAGATTGCAGACTCATTTGCAATTATGTTAAATCTGTAAATGGAGGCATGATAAATGAACATAGCTAAATCTTGCAGAACTTTACCATTTGTATTTGATAACAATAAATGAAATTTAGTTAAATTTGGGTATGTAAAAGCAATAGGGTTGCAGGTATCTTTCTCTCAGTTGTAAGTAAACAGGACATACAAGCAGAAAATGATATTCATCTTCAACTGAACTTAAGTTACAAACATTACAAATTCTTTGGTCCCGACTAAGGTTTTTATAACGTCCCGTTTCAATAAAAATATCATGGGAGGAACATCTAAAACGTGAAAGAGCAGATCGGAACTTTTTAACGATAATCTTATAAAGGTAATCTTCCTGAATTTTTTGTGATTTAAATAGTTTGTAATAAAAACACATTTGATAAAGCCAGTGAAGCAGTCCGTGTCTGTATATACATATATTTTAGACCCGTGAAGATCCGGGGTAGAATAGGTCTTCAGCAACCCATGTGCTTGCCATAAAAGGCGACTATGCTTGTCGTAAGAGGCGACTAACAGGATCGGGTGGTCAGTTTCGCCGACTTGGTTGACACATGTCATCGGTTCCCAATTGCGCAGATCGATGCTCATGCTGTTGATCACTGGATTGTCTGGTCCAGACTCGATTATTTACAGACCGCCGCCATATAGCTGGAATATTGCTGAGTGTGGCGTAAAACTAAACTCACTCACTCACTCACTAACACTATACATATATTTTAGCCTTTGTGTTAATGACAATACAAAATTTGATTTTGAATACACATTCTGATTTTGCCAAACTTGTCCGTAACCACTACTGAAAAGTAGCTCTCTAACTCCAGTAACCCAGTTAGAAAATATAGAAATCAGACAGAAAGTTAAACCTAGCATGTAAGCATTAACACATTTATTACAATACAGCACAATACAATATAAAAAACCGGGGTATAGATCACCAAAACCTGAAGGTAGATCACCATACTATCGTAACGTTTTAATAATAGCCACATTGTAAACAACAAATTAGGATCTACTATTATAATTGTTTTATCCATTGAAGTGAGTGAGTTGGTTTAGTTTTATGCCGCACTCAGCAATATTCCAGCTATATGGCGGCGGTCTGTATGTAATCGAGTCTGGGCCAGACAATCCAGTGATCAACAGCATGAGCATCTATCTACGCAATTAGGATACGATGACATGTGTCAACCAAGTCAGCGAGCCTGACCACCCGATCCCGTTAGTCGCGTCTTAAGACAAGCATGGGTTATTGAAGATCAATTCTAACCGGGATCTTCAGGGGTCGGGTGCGATTGGTAACAGAAGAAATATCATACAAACATGTGAGTGTTCTGGAATATGATGCTTACACTAATGTCGTTAGTTTCTAAAAATCAGATGCAAGATGCACATGTGTCAACGTGTAAACTTGCTAGGGACAGAAAATTGTCCGTTTGTAAACATGGTTTTATAAGAAGTCATTTTAACTTCAGAGTTCAGGAACAAAACTATCTACGAGAAGTTGACGGAGTGGAAGGCTGAGTATGGTCCAGTTGTGAAGTTCAATATGGGTGAGTAAACAGTCAGAAGTCCCCAGGGGCGGATCCAGAGAAGGGGTGGGAGTAGTGGTGGGTGAAGGTTGCAAAATCCTGGATCCGCTCCTAGTCACGGATATTTATTCAGAAGCTGTAATTTTCTCCTCTTTTCCAATGTAAAATATATCTAATTCAGTACCACGTATACCCTTTACTCATTCGCTAAACCAGCATAGTGTTCAGATCGGTTGGAACAACCAGTGCCCTCTTTGGACACTTGTGAGCAAGAGAAAGTGGTCAAAGTCACTGAGTGAGTGAGTTGGGTTTTACGCCGATTTTAGCAATATTCCAGCAATATCACGGCGGGGGACACCAGAAATGGGCATCACACATTGTACCCATGTGGGGGATCGAACCCGGGTCTTCACTGTAACGAGCGAACGCTATAACCACTAGGCTACGCCACCGCCCCAAGCGGTCAAAGGGACAAAAATGGTGAAGTCTTCAACATGGTCGTGAATAGAATAGAGATACCTTATGTATTTTACACTGGTTGTAATATATTGAACAAACTTTATGGATAACAACTTCTTTTATTTGGTGAGTGCGACGTTTCGATACAGATGATTGTACCGTTGTCAAGCAGGAATCAAGAATCTGTATCGAAACGTCGCACGCATGAAATATAAGAAGTTGTTATCCAGAAAGATTGTTCAATATAGTATTCCCTACTTCTAAAATGCCACTGAAAGTAGCTGTATTATACTGGAGAATTCCAAACAGAATTGCCAAAAGAAGAATTTGGCCACTTACAAAGTAAAATTACATTTGTATAAAATATACTCAGCAGCAAAATAAACGTCAGTACGAATTCAAAACTACATAGGCACTGTAATCAAATCATTACAGAAATTGACATCAATGCAGATCAAAAACATTTTTTGTGTGCAATATCTTGACACATCATTGAATACCTCAGCACAATTTCAAGACTTTACGTGAACGTTTTCAGTCCATTCAGACTCTTGACTTCAGTATCTAGTGTGTCCACCTCGAGCGGCAATAACTGCAGAACCACGTCTATTTATGGAGTGCACCAATCGATTGATGATTGGCACTTTGAACCACACTCCGAGAAAGGCCTGGCGCAATAAATCGGCTGTGTTCGGCCTTGGTATGACATTATTCAGTCTCCTCTGAATTTCATCCCAAAGATGTTCAGTTGGGTTTAAATCAGGACTAAGGGCTGGCCACTGCATAATGTTGACACCGTTCTGCTGTAGGAAGTCCCGTGTAGCTGTGGCAGTATGGGCCCGGGCGTTATCATGCTGGAAAATGTTGTTCCGGTGTTGATACACCGACTCTCAACTGTGAACAGAACAGTTCTCCATTGCCTGTATCGCCAGTTTTGGTGTTGTAGGGCAAACTGTAGACGTTCATGCCGATGGCGAGGGGTGAGGATAGGTCCACGGTAAGGTCTATGGCAATGGAGGTTCCCGCTGTTAAGACGTCGGCGTACTGTATCAGTACTGATTGGTCTTCCGTGTGTTCCCACTGTCTGGCGTGTTGTTTCGGATGCCTACATGAAGGGATTCTGTACATGCTGTTGCACAACATGGCGGTCTTGTCTTCTTGTGGTCACCCTTGGTCTGCCAGTACGGGGCTGATCATTTGTGGTGTTGGTGGCCCGGAAACGTTGCTGCAGCCTGGAGATGGTCCGAACGTTGACCTGGAAGTGATTGGCAACTGCTTGTGCAGTATGGCCAGCTTCAAGTCTTCCTAGCGCTTGGTTCCTCTGAGCTGTCGTGAGTCGCGGCATCCTGCTGACGTTGTAATGTGAATGTTTCAATCAGGTTTGGGGGTGCATTTTATAGGGCTCGTCCTTGTGAACAGCACGTGCAGCTAAGTTGCATGAAACACATGGGGAACACCGTGCCATCTCCGAGATCAGGTTGCGTTTTTAAGACCACTTCCTGGGTTCCATTCTGAGTTTGGGAAGGAATGTCTTTGCTCAGGTAAAGTTGGAGATGTTGTGAAAAATATACAACAAAACATTAAATGAGCTTACAGTTATCCGTTTCTGTGAAGGACAATTCCAAACTGACGTTTCTTTTGCTTCTTAGTATATGTCCAGGGAGACATTCTTCTCTCATTTCCACCAGGAGACTCAGAATATCCTGGACATACGCTATTGCGTGTACACTGATATACATATCTCCGTGTTTGGCCATATGGAGTATTCACATTTTCAATAATAATAATAATACGAACCCTCTCTGCTACAAACTATCTTTGATCTCTAAAACATAATAATAATAAGTATAAGTGCATTTATATTGCGCTATTTTCCATCCGTTGCGGTTGCTCAAAGCGCAGGTATCAAGGATAGTACTTGGAGAAGAGATGGGTTGTAAGTTTGGACTTGAAGACAGCTAAAGATGGGAGGTTTGATATCAAAAGGAAGACAGTTCAGAGAGAAGGAGCAGAGAATGACAATGATCTCTGGCCGAAGGATTTGAGATTGATCTTGGGGGTGGTAAATAGAAGTTGATCATTGGATCTCAGGTTTTTGCATGAAGTATATTTCTGGAGAAGTTCTTTCAGATATCAAAGTACTGTAAAGAAATAGTGTTGCATGTGATGAATCATCTCCTTGGCTCGCAATAGTCGTTTGGGGAAAATTTCTGAAATGCTTCCTTGATCAACTTGTATAGAATATACATATGACAGAATTAATGTATCGAGTGTTAACACACATTCATCTATCAAATGATGGGCGTCATTTGATGGATCAGTTAAATATCTGATGAACGTTATGAAAATAGAATGTTCACGTTACAGGACATATGACAATGATCGGACTGAACAATATTGACGTCGTGATGGAGGCGCTGGTTAAAAGACAGGCTGATTTTGCAGGGCGGCCCGATTCATATACCGGTAAATATGAGACGATGGATTGCATCTCTATTTCATCCAAAATTATCTCATTAGACTTGGTTTTGTTTATTTTGAGCTGTCAAATAATCGTTTTATTACCTGTTTTATTAAGCTACACATCTTGTAGTGATCAAGATTTTGGCTTGATGACGTACAGTCTCTACATCTACTGCTCCTAGCTGGACAAGAACATATATATCATACAAAAAGTGAGTGAGTGAGTTTAGTTTTACGCCGCACTCAGCAATATTCCAGCTATATAGCGGCGCTCTGTGAATAATGGAGTCTGGACCAGACAGTCCAGTGATCAACAGCAGGAGCATCCATCTACGCTATTGGGATACGATGACAACCAACTTTGCGTCAACCAAGTCAGCGAGCCTAACCACCCGATCCCGTTAGTCGCCTCTTACGACAAGCATCAGTTGCTGAAGACAGTTCTTACCGGCTCTTTACGGGCTTCATACAAAAAGACACGTGGTTGCTTTTTCTCCTTTGATTGCTCATATTTTTTCATTTCTTCATTTAAAATAATACATTGATGCCTAAAGTGCAGCCATAGTTACGGGTGACGAGGTCCCAAAGTATTCTGTTTCACGATATTCTCGTTTACTAAATGTCAGTATATCTCCAACGTAAATAGTAGTAGACGTACATACATGTATGAGGGCCTTTCAAAAATACCGTGTCGGGACAAAATAGTAAATGTCACTATTTTATGCACGCTTAAGTGTATATTGTATTTTTCCCAAGCGAACCTCTTTAGTGATGGAGGGAAGAATATCGTCTTCGGTGACTACAGCCCTACTTGGAAACTACACAGGAAGTTGGCAACAAAGGCATTGAAGTGAGCTGCTTTATATGAAATATATTGTCATATAAGATAACAGTATACTGGTATAGAAGGAAGACAATCTCTGACTCACGAACAGTGTCAGCTTACGGTTTGAGTAAGATACGACATTGCAATTGGTGATAACGGTACGAGGCTGTTGGAGTGAGTGAGATTAGTCTTACGCCGCACTCAGCAATATTCCAGCTATATGGCGGCGGTCCAGTTAGCCGCCTCTTTCGACAAGCATGGGTTACTGAAGATCAATATTCTAACCCGGACCTTCACGGGTACGGGGCTGTTGGATAGCTAAGGGGGCTTACCAGCCAATACCCATTACTTTACTAATACACAATATGGACATCGTAAATATGGCGACAGAGGGTACATTCTACTTAACACGTATATTTCTTACAATAATTTAAACATGTTTAAATTTCATTAAGAAACCCGATGTAGTCGCAATGTGACAAAAAACAGGGGGTTAACACGACTCGCCATTTTACGTGTACAAGTTTTAGACAAACCAAAATGGCACCACCCTTCAGTGAAACAAACAAAAACCATCCAAGTAATATAAAAATCAGTTTTCAGCCTTGCTAATCCATTTGCACCGAATCTTAAGGGATGTTCCCAAACTACACTTCGCACGAATTTCATCCATGTATGGAAAATTGAAGAAAATGTGTTGTAATACAGTATGACAAGTTGTAAATGTAGTTATTCCTTGTGAACTAATGCCACGACTGCCTCGATCTGTGATGACTCCAGCAATAATATATTGTACGTGTCATCGCTTTCGGTTCCTCTCCGGCTTATTCAGACACTACATGACTGGTAACCACCTTGACGAGGGGATAGAGCGCTCACTGACCAAAGGCATTGCGATGATAAAGGGGATTAAGGGTCCCTTCAATCCTCATCACGCTGTCTCCCTCATTGTGTTCAACATCATCAACAATATCTGCTTCAATTTCACGTGAGTAAACTTTGTCCAGCGTTCAATATCGGGATCTATGGCACCTGTGGCCAAAGATAACCTTAAGAAAACTCAAACATTAAATTGACATACCAATACGGGCCTATCTTGCCACCTTCCTTATGCACTTCCTGATATGGGCTTACCAGTACCAGTACAATCTAATATGGGCTTATCATCCCACGCTCTACACGTACTTCCTCATATAGGCTTATCCTGCCTCGTTCTACATGCACTTCCTGACACTGGCTTCTTATCCAACATGTTATCGGTACTCCCTAGTATGGACTTATCCTGAAACATTGTACCGGTACTTCCTAATATGGGCTTATCCTGCAACTTTACACCGGTACTCCCTAGTATGGGTTTATTTGATCTGTTTGAGTGGCATTCTAGTAGTTGGTGGTATAGAGATGACAAGACTTCATGGATGATCAACTTCTTTATTTTCACAATGGCGACGTTTCGGTATAGATTCTTATACTGTTTTCAAGCATGTGGGGGGAATAATGGGGTTTATATACAAGATACATGTACATATGATAATGAGATAACAATAACAAAGGTGGGATAGCGAAGCTTATCCTCCTATAATCAATTGATACCAATGACACTATCGCTGTGATCTAAACCATAACAGATGCGAGGTCAGTGACAACTACTTCAGAAAGATGCTGCATGTTCTGAATATCTTTGTGGAAGACACTGGCAACGGCTTTCTTGAGGACGTAATTCCACCTCTCCGTCTCTTCCACACCAAGAAGCTTAGAACTATCATGAAAGAATTGGGTATATTCTTCGCTTCACTGAATGGAGAAATTGAAAAACATCGACGGACCATACGTAAAGGTACATACGGGTTTTTTTCCACTTCGCTAAAGGTTAATCGCTTCTTATCTTCATTGTTACACTATGATCTTCATTTTAGATTTAAATCATGATAACAATAAATCGAGCTGACTCAAAAGAGCTAAGGATGTTGAAAGTATTATCTTTCGTAATAGAGCTGAGGAAATTGGACATCATCTCAAAGTCGGCGAGTATTTGGTTGATGGTTCTACACTGCGGGACGGTAGAGATAAATGTCAAGCAAACGAAGCGTTTTATTATCTGAACGACCGCTGGACCGAGTTAACGTGCAGAGAAGCAACCAACGGAGTCCGCTTTCGTGAAGTCGGCTGGCCTGATAAGTGAAACAGAAGGCTTTTTGTTTGCCGCTCAAGACCGGTCTCTTCCCTCTGATAAACGCCAATATGCGATTTCTTGTCAAAATGTAAGACTGTTCAACTACGCTTTTGTAATGCCTGGCTCTGGCAAAGTGTCTCCGCCATGCTTGTGGTTTTGACGCAACGGGCCACTCATGGCACAACCTACAATACGTGCAGGGCATCTTGGAAAATGATAGCCCAAAATACAGACTTAGATGTATCCGAGCCAAGGAACCTGATCTTGTCCTGATAAAGCGACTGGAATAAGTTTTATCATTGAGTCCATTTTGACAGTAGCGTGATTGACGTGTGTGTGTGTCCATACTCTCCAGAAAGTTCTAAATCGTGGTTGGCAAAGCAAGGTTTTCTCGGAGAAGCCTCATTTGCTGCCTGAACTGTGTGCAATTTGGGGCAAGGGTACCTGGAATGCTGATGAGATCCATCAGCCTGATCAGCACCGTCTTTGCTGTATTCATTTATTTAAACTAAGGGTGGGCGATAATATCAGTTTATCGGTATATTGCAATTTGAACTTCACAATATGATATATAGCACTACATTTTTAGCGAACCGTTTACCCGATACGATCGGCAATTGCCGTGACCATGATCGGTAATTTTCGTGATGTATTAAAAAGTACTAATAACATTTGTGTTTCCTTTATATTATTATACATTTATAGTTTTGAGAATGTTTATTGGTGATATAATTGCATTTGGATGACTTTTAAAACCATATAAATAAAAAATAGATTGGTATAATTGATAAACAAAATGGCGGACGCAGCTGCATACGCTTTTTCTCCAGTTCAGAACTTTAGAGCGAAGTCTACAATTTGGAAACATATTGATCTCTTGTATAATCACATCTGTGTCATGACAGTGGTCAGTGGCATTGTTACAAAAGAGAGGAAGCAATAATTTCATTAGCTTATACAATCTGTTACACTTTCGCAGTATATTGCAATACATTTTGCAATACGCAAACACATATCACAATATATCGCAATGCGAAAATTTTGACAATACCCAACACTAATTTTAATCTGTAAAATAGTAGCAATAAATATTCATTTCTATAGGTTCTGAATGTGGTATTCATCCATAAATGCCTACGAAAAGTTTCAAGAGTTTCAGAAACTGAGTATGACAGATATTATATTCCACAGAAGTAGGGCTTTGACAGAAAAAAGTCACATCTCATTTAGTTTTGTTCACTCATACTGACAGGTGGAATTTGTACACAGCTTGCAGATTATGATCTGGTGTCTGCACTTGAAGTAGCTATTTGAGAAACAGGAAATATTCTCTCTTATTCCATATATTACGATCTTTGTTAAGCATAATAACATAGATCTTCTCATGGCAATAAGAGAAGCATTAATGTGCTTCTCTCTATCAATCGTTTTGTTCCTTACGTTGTCCAAACAGATAACATCCGTGATTTCTGTGATGCCATGTTGTTGGCTCAAGAAGAAGCCTCTCAGGAGGAGGACCCGGATGTGATGTCACAAATGACTGACGCCCATATCACTCAAACTCTGTCTGATATATTTGCCGGTACATATTTGAACTTACCTTTTGTGTACGTTTTCGTCGATCCAATGTCTCTCTTCCTGTAAGTGTTAACGTTTAGTTACATTTTTGGACAACTGTTTTGTATCAAATAGGAAACATGTTTTTGCCACACAGGCCCCAGGTGGAATGGTTAATGCGTAAATGCTATGATCTAAATTGCTCATACAGCCATTCAACATTCAATTTTGATTTTGTGTTTGCGATAGGATATCGTTTGTCTCTCGTTTATTTTGTACTGAAGCATTCATGCCCTCTAATAATAATGAAGTGATTGTACTGCATCTCCAAATTACACTGTTGACTCTGTATCTGCAGCTGGGATGGACACCTCTCGCTTCACCCTGCTGTGGACGCTACTCGTCCTGGCTCAGCATCCGGACATTCAAGACAAGCTTCACACTGAGATCGACGACGCTCTGGGTACGTTTCATCCATGACATAGAGATATCGTGAGATGATGATACCGTGATAACTTTATACGCTGATGTTATACCATACAGATATGATGATATGGTATGATGCTACAGTGATAAATTTATACGCTGATATTATGACGTAGAGATATTTTGATATGGTATAATGATGCTACAGTGATAAGTGTATAAGCTGATATTATAACATAGAGATATGATGATATGGTATAATGATGCTACAGTGATAAGTGTATACACTGATATTATAACATAGAGATATGATGATATGGTATAATGATGCTACATTGATAAGTGTATACGCTGATATTATGACATAGAGATATGATGATATGGTATAATGATGCTACAGTGATAAGTGTATACACTGATATTATAACATAGAGATATGATGATATGGTATAATGATGCTACATTGATAAGTTTATACGCTGATATTATGACATAGAGATATTTTGATATGGTATATAGATGCTATAGTGATACTTTTGTACGCTTATATGATGACATAGAGATACGATGATATGGTATAATGATGCTACAGTGATAAGTGTATACGCTGATATTATGACATAGAGACATGATGATATTGTATAATGATGCTACAGTGATATTTTTGTACGCTTATATGGTAACATAGAGATATGATGATATGGTCTAATGATGCTACAGTGATAAGTATATACGCAGATATTATGACATAGACATATGATGATATGGTATGAGGATACAGTGATAAGTTTATATGCTGATATTATGACATAGAGGTATGATGATATGGTATGATGCTACAGTGATAAGTTTATACGCTGACATTATG